GTTTTCCGGTACCTAATGGTGAAAAACCGGTCACAGAGATACCCAATTCATTACAATAGGCAACGGTGTCGTCCTGGTTAAGGGTCGGGTGGATATCGATTTGGTTGACTGCGGGCACCACTTTCCACGACTTCTTGAGGTTTGCAATCTGAGCCCTATTGAAGTTGGAGATACCGATAGATCGGACCAACTTCTGGTCGACGGCGTCCTCCAACCCCTTATAGACCTCTGCGTCGGCGTCTGCGGGCCAGTGAATCAAAACTAAGTCCAAATAAGTGACGTTCAGTTTCTTTAGGGAGTTATGGACGGTCTGTAACGTCGTCTGTCGGTTCTTCGGCGGATCCACTTTTGTTGTGATGAACAGCTCCTCCCGTTTAAGGATACCGGCGGCGATCTGCGCGTTAATGGCTTTCCCGACCTCGTTTTCATTACCATACCCTTCGGCGGTATCGATATGTCTGTACCCGATCTCCAGGGCATCCTTAACAGCCTGAATCACGGGATCACCCTTAGCCTGCCACGTGCCCAGACCTATCTGAGGCATCTCATAACCGGAGTTCAGTTTGATAGCCGGCGCTAAACAAGTTTGCAAAATAAAAAATTAGTTTTATGTCAAATACGTTTAATATTGATATATATCCCAAATGAATGCCTACTTTTTGCCGACACAACCGCCAGAGTTAGTGCCAAAACCACAGCGACTTTCATTGTGTTTCAGGTGTTGTCTGGTTTACTGATTCAATTAAATGACAAATTAAAAAGTTTTCCACTTATTTATAGTAAAACAAAGACCTTGATAGGTTTAGATTAATACCGATATATTTCTACTATGTCTTATCTTTAGATTTTCAGTAAAATATCACAATTAGAAAGTATCAAAATATCCTGCTGCTAATCAAGAATTAATTCACTTGTGATTAAAAGTTCAAATTTGTACACACAAAAATCATAGTTATCCTAATCATTTTCCTAAAATGCCACTTTACAAACTCCACAAACAGTTAATCTAATCTTCATACTATGGTACACAATATACTACGGTATTACAGTTAGCAGTAATCTAATTTTTCTATACCATTATAAATGTTTTTCAAACTATAATTTTTTAGCAAATAATTAATATCTACTATTGAGTTTTAAAATAAAAATTACTTAGTTTTGCATTATCAATATTGATGTTATGTTATTTTAATTAAGTAAATAATTAAGAAAAATATAGAATTACAATTAATTTTTTAAATGTTTTTAATTAAAACTTTATAAACTTTAAATTATACTTAATATAACAATTTAAGCCTTCATGTCATGAATAGTTTTGACTTCATCCTTGGTAAGAGTGAAGTCGAAGATCTCGAAGTCTTCCTGAATATACTTCTTGGTCACACTCTTGGGAATTGTGATCAGATGTCTCTCGATCTGCCACCTGAGGGCTACCTGAGCCGCACTCTTGTTATGTTTTTTACCAATAGCGGCTAAGGTCGGGTCCTTGATCAATTTACCAGTTCCCAATGGTGAATATCCGGTGACAGCAATACCCAAATCATTGCAATGGTTAACCGTGTCGTCCTGGTTATGGGTCGGGTGGATCTCGATTTGGTTGACTGCGGGCTTGATTTTCCACGTCTTCTTCAAGCTGTCGATCTGAGCCTTATTGAAGTTGGAGATACCGATAGATCGGACCAACTTCTGACCCACAGCCTCCTCCAGACCCTTATAGACCTCCGTGTAGTCGTCCGCCGGTCTGTGCACCAGAACTAAGTCCAGATAAGTGACGTTCAACTGTTGCAGTGAGTGGTGGACAGTCTCCAGAGACTTCTTCGCGGTTTTGGCGTCTTTGGGCCACACCTTTGTTGTGATGAACAGGTCCTCCCGCTTAAGGATACCGGCGCCGATCTGCTCGTGAATGGCTTCTCCCACCTCCTTCTCGTTCTTGTAGATCCAGGCGGTGTCGATATGTCTGTAACCGATCTCCAGGGCATCCTTAACAGCTTGTTTGACAGGGTCACCGGTAGCCTGCCATGTGCCCAGACCTATCTGAGGCATCTCATAGCCAGTGTTTAATTTGATACTCGGCACTAGATAAGCAAATAAACACAAATTTGCTTTATTATAATTAAATATAATTATTTTTAAATGTTAGTCAAATGGGTATAATATGTGTAATAGTGTACAAACCTTTTGCCGATACGATTGTAAGGGTTAGTGTCAAAATCACTGCGACTTTCATTGTGGGTCAGGTATTGTCAGGTTTACTGATTTAATAAATTTTAACCTGTTTATCGGGTGTATATATAGTGAATAAAAAATCTTAATTTGCAATGATTTCATCGACATCCTGGATATTTGCAATATTGGTTTAATTCTCACAATATTCTCAAATTAACGTATTGACACGGGTTATCATATTTACCAAATATTACTGGTAATCAATTACATTAAATCAATATTACAATTGAAATAGAAAAATTACCTATTATTGTCCCTCCAAAATGCCCTTTGATTGTACTAAGCAATTTATCTTGATGTACCTTTTGATGAACATTATAAACAACAAAATTACAATGAATTATATGCCTGTTTAAATATAGTCTATCCTATTTATGACTTCCGCATTACTATTTTCAGCATCATTTTCATTATAATTATAAACCTAAAATTTAAAAATATTTCATTGTAACAATTTCTAATGATTTTGTAATATTTTAAATATAGAAATACTTCTGAATAGATATTCTATTAATGGGAATAATATACAATTTTGCAAATTAGGAAATGTGTTTCCTATTATCTTATTTGTTTTAAATATTGCGTAAAATTTTAACATACAATTTACTTGTCTAAATATGTAATGCCCTATTGATTATTATTTAGTACCGGTAATATTTTTAAAATTTACAAAACTTAAATTGCTATAAAGTTCAGATGATTTTTAAAAATAAAATAATTAATATTAAATTAATAGAAATCAAATAAAATTAGATTAACATTTTATTTTCTAAATAACTTTAGTTTATCTAAAATTATAAGAGATTTAATTAGATAAAATTAGATAATGTAACATAAAACAACATAAAAGTAAAATATTAGGTATTAGTTGTCAAGTAGAAATTGTAATAAAATTTTTTATCGCAAATCTTTTTGATTGAGGATATAATCCATATTAATTATTGTATTGTAAACAAATTGACCTTTCACTTATTATAGAGGCCAAAATGTCTAGGCACTATGCAATCTAATCAAATTCAAGAGATTAAGTGAGCCAGTTAATTTGCTCAAAAAAGCATAAAATAAACTCTCAATTATCGCGGAAAGCAAAAACTACTCAACTTTTGTCTCTCCGTCTCAAAGTCCTATCGTTTACTTTCGCACAAATCTGTCACAAAATTAGATAAGATTTGTGAAAGTATTAGTCAATAAATAATTTTCGGAAAATATCTCACTTTAATAGAAACACACAAATTAATGAATTGTAATTATTTTATTATTATTTAAAAATATATGACATTTTTTAATTAATGAGACTAAAAGTATTCAAAACACAAATTGCATTTAAAACGGGATTTTCTTCATGTCCTCATCGCTTAGCGTGAAGTCAAAGACCTCGAAGTCTTCCTTAATGTACTGCTTCTTCACACTCTTGGGGATCACAATCACTCCCCTCTGGATCTGCCATCTGATCATCACTTGAGCCGAACTCTTGTTGTATTTCTTTCCGATGTCAATAAGCTTTTGCTCTTTGATTAGAGATCCAGTTCCCAGCGGCGAGTATGCGGTGACTGTGATGTTATGGGTGTGCGAGTAGTCTATATAACCGGTGGATACGGCTTTTGGGTTGCATACGATCTGATCGTTGGCCGGTTTGACAGTCGTCTCGGCCACCAATTTGTCGGTGTCTTTCTCGTTGAAGTTTGAGATACCGATAGATCGGACGAGTTTGGCGTTGTAGGCGTCCTCTAAGCCCTTATACACCTCCACGAAGTTACCCCACGGGAAGTGCACGAGAACCAGGTCCAGGTATGTCACGTTCAGTTTGGTGAGCGACTGATGCACCTCATCCAATGCCTTCTTACGGTCGTCGTGGGGCCACACTTTGGTTGTAATGAAGATGTCCTCTCTCTTGATGATACCGGCCTTAATAGACTCGGCGATGGCCTGACCCACATCCTCCTCATTGCCGTAATCGGAAGCCGTGTCGATATGTCTGTAACCGATTTCAATGGCATCCTTAACCGCCTGTTTGACCTCAGCTCCATGTGCCTGCCAGGTGCCCAACCCCAGGATTGGCATCTCATAACCGGTGTTCAGTTTCACCGTTTGGTCTATGTTTGAGAAAAATTAATTTTTTTAAGTAAAACAAAGTTTTTTATTAAACTTGTGGTTGACTTACAGGCGGTGATGCCATAGAGGCTGCCGATGAGCGCAACGACTGTCAAGAATCTCATGGTTTAAGACTATTCTGTGTTTTTCTAAACTCAATAGAAAACTGAATTTAATTGTCGATTCTTTTTGGTATTTATAGTGTTTTTGCGAAATCCTTGATCAATTGATTTCTCAAATTGTTTCACAACAGCTTATCCAAAAATATGGAAATCTGATTATTAAAATGTTTGTCCCGTTCATAAATCATAGTAACAATTCTCATATTCATGATCCCTTATTGTGATTTGATTAATAAAATAATAAACTGATCCAGATTCTCCCTTTGACTCTTACTTTTTGAGAAATTAGCAGATAAATAGTGCCTGGTTAAGTGCACTATTAATCCCTTTTTTAAAGTTAAGCACAATTTAATTCAATATCTAATCGATTCTGTGAATCATATCGATTCTGTAATACAGTATTATGTTTGAAGTGCTTATGAATAATTGTTTCGCAAATACTGTATGAGTTTATTTGTCCCATATTTTAAAAATGCGTTAGAAATGTACTGTATTTGTAAAGTTATTAATTTTTAATATGAATACTGCATAAATAAAAATAATAATTTCACTATAAGTTTTAACTTTTACAAACTTTTGAAAGTTTTCATTTGTTTGGTTTATTATTTAATTATAACTCCCGACGTGGGCTCCTATTTGGACGGAAAGTAAGTTTCCTTGAGTTTTAAGATCTAATAAATATATGCAAATTATCATAACAATTATCATAACAAGTCTAAAGAGTTATTTAATAATTACATATTTGCCTACAAAACAAAATAAAAGTAAATATGTTTAAATGCATACTTTGTACTAACACTAAATGCATAACACTAAATACATAAATCTATCATAATAAGTGTACAGTAATTGTGTAAACCTATAAGTTAGATACAAATGACATATTTTGTAAAGTTTGTTAAAAGTTTAAATAACGGTAAACCTATCTACTGATATAACTCATATCATATAAGATACTGTATACTGAAAATATTTTAATGTAAATTATTTTTATTAATATTAAAAATATATTTTACAAATTTAAAATACAATCAAGTACTTCAAACAAATGTCATTCAATTTGCCATTTAATACGGGATTTTCTTCATGTCCTCATCGGATAGCGTGAAGTCAAAGACCTCGAAGTCTTCCTTAATGTACTGCTTCTTCACACTCATGGGGATCACAATCACTCCCCTCTGGATCTCCCATCTGATCATCACTTGAGCCGAACTCTTGTTGTATTTCTTTCCGATGTCAATAAGCTTTTGCTCTTTGATTAGATCTCCAGATCCCAGCGGCGAGTATGCGGTGACTGTGATGTTATGGGTGTGCGAGTAGTCTATATAACCGTCGG